TGATTAATGGCGTTTTGTGGGCGTGGCAGTGATCATCTACAATAACAGCCTTCTTACTGTGCCAATGATCATGTGTACCAAGTTTCCTCAAGATAACTAAATTTTTACTTAAGTTTCAGTTTGCACAGACAGACCTGGATTTTAACTCGGCTCTTCACCCTGATCATTTATGTATACGCGGGGTGTTCAACGAAAAAGGTGAATTTTGATATTTCGCGGGCTGTGTACATTCGATTATCGATATTTTGTTTTTGTTTTAATCGGACACATATGTTTATCATGTGCTTTTATTAGGAGCCATTTTTGATTAGTATTTTGTATTTGCGAACAGAAAAGGTTAGTCACTTTGATTCATTTCCTACACTGAACCACTGAAATATTATATAAGTACTTTATTTCATTAAAATATTACACTCACATTTTCGGAATTAAGCAGTAGTATATCCAACATTATACGTGCATTTGTTACTTCTAAAAATATTATTTTTAACTTTCTTTAAGGTACCCCAGAAATTTACCGACATTTTTAATAAAAAGCTCAGCCATAAGCAAACAGATCCACATATTTGGTATCTGGGACTTGAAAAGTTATGATCCGAATTTGTTTATTTTTGGACGCAAGGTTGCATACCTAAAATGCACTTGGCGTGCAATGTTTTATTCCGAAAAAGTCATTGGCTGTCGATGTATATACTGTAAAGTGAATCATATGGAATTTCGATGTCCCCCATTTTCTCAACGTTACATAAAAAAGTCAAAATAATGTTATGCCCAAAATTTAGTTTGAATTGGTCAGGAAGTTTGGTTGATGTAGCTTTAGAGGTTTGTGATATATGTACATAAAATCTGTTAGGGGCGGTGCTAAATCCATCCTTTTTAAATTTTCAGCCCTCGGGTACCCCTTACTATTACGATTCGCTGTATTAAATTTCAGTTTTTTATCTTAATTAGATTCTTAGTTATAGCATTTTACATGTTTTCACTTAATGGCATTTCGTGGTAGTGGCAATAGTCTGATTATGCCCATCTGCAATATCAATCTTCCTTGGGTGCTAAGGTATATGTGTACCAAGATATCAAGATATCTCAATTTCTACTCAAGTTATCGTTTGCATGGACAGACAGACAGTCACTCGAAATTCAACTCGTCTCATCATCCTGATCATTTATATACATATACATACTTGTATATTTCGATTAGTTTCAGGAGATATAAACAATCGTTAGGTGATCGAAACTATTATACTCTGTAGCAACATGTTGCGAGACTATATACAATTATTATAAGAGAACCCATTTATACTTGGAAAAAGAAATTTAAACAGCAAAATAATTACTCAAAAAATGGCACACAAAATTAAAAAATAATTGGTCGTCTAATAAATTGAGAAAAATTTTTGCGCGAGACGGAGAGCCCAAAAGATGGCCTATTTTCAAACCGTTTATTTAAAATTTTATATTAAATGGATATACATATTTAAAAAGTACGAAATATCTGCTATGTAAAGTAATTGTAATAGAATCTGACACTCCTGAATGTAAAGTTATGGACTCATACTAGCAGCATTGATGTCCGTTTTCAATGAGGCTATATTTTTACGATTTATTCTCAGTTTGGTTTGCCATTTCATAACGCACAGACTTACTTTATAACACCGTTTGCAAATTTAAATGTAGTGGTCACCGATCCCGATTGTCACAAGAAAATTTTGTTCAGGGCCGTTTTAACCTCACAAAGTCACTGTTTGGTGTGCTCTACGGTCGATATTATTCCAAAAATTATGACTTTCATAATGTTAGAGTTAATGGAGAACGATATAAAGCCATGATTAATAACTTTTTCGTGTCTGGATTGGAGGATGTTGATGTGGACGACCTTTAGTTCCAAGAAGACGGCGCTACATGCTATACAGCCAACGAAACAATCAATTTATTGAAGCAAACTTTTAGTGAAATCAATTATCTCTCGTCGTGAGCCTGTGGTGTGGCCTCCAAAATCTTGCGATTTAAGACCGCTGGTCGTTTATCTACGCAGATACGTTCGAGACGATTGACGCTTTGGAAGAGAATATTCGGCACGTTATTGCTGACATACGGCCCCAATTGCTGCCAAAGTGTTCGAAAATTGTGTTCACCACTTAAAACAGAAACAAGTAAAGTGCAAAATATTCTCAAAGGGATGCAAATATTTGGAAAATTTTTCCTAATTTCTAGCATTGATGGCATTCAATAAGTTGTATAGGGGCATTGATCTCTTGAAGAATCAATTTACTTTCATTGATTGACTGAAGGATTTTATACCATATGAAAGCCGTCAAAACGCACTAAAATTTGCACATATGTTTCAAAAATCCATCAACGTCTCGACGAGTTTCTGCCGTAGGTTAAGTTGTATGCTGCTATTGAAAATATTGAAACATGAAAAGTTTTTGTTCGAAGACAGCATTCAGCCTTCATATTTACCGTTCATATTACTACCATTATCGTAGCCATGTCCATGGCAAATCGAATTAATCACCTATCAAAAGCTTTATAATTTTTAACTATTCATTTAATTTTTTTGTAAATACGGGACACTTTGACAACTTTTAGCCCAATTAATTTGTTTGCTTGAGTTTTCAAAAATTCTTTTAACGTAGTTTGTCTCAACTTTCCTCGATTATGTTTTATAAAACAGTTTTCCAGATGACTTTCCAAAGTTTTGGCGTACTGCGTACGGCCCAGTTGTCCTGTTGCTTCAGAATATGACTTAATTTGACCCACATCATACATGATAATGTCAATGTCAATATCTGCTGTATTAACAATTTCGTCGATTAACCAATCGGGCGACTGTCCGAATGCAGTCCTTGCTGATTTTCATTTAAAAGTTTTATTAAAGCCAATAACGTCGTTATGACAATAACGTCTTCTGCATCGAAGCCAGAAATTTTTCTCACACTTTTTTGAAAACATGCCCTTGAAAAACAGTTTTTAATTGTTTTCATCGTTATGTTGCCCATGCCACCTTTAAAATGTCAATTGTCAAAGTTTCTTCATTGAAATGTCGTCTTTTCTTATCAAAATAAGTTTGATAATATTGCATTAGTAAAAACATTTGAAATTATGAGTGTAATGACCTGATCGAGAGACTGGCAAACGGATGTTGTCCTAGCAGTTAGAAGGATCAACTTTATGATATTAAGTTTAATATATCGTATATAGATTTCGATTTCCGGTCGGTTTAGTTACTTTACCTTTGTTTTAATTATTGATCTTCGTTGTATGCAAATAATTGTTTTCTTTGCACTTTCGTTTAGCAATTTAATTTTCTTGTTCGTTATTGAGAGGTTCCCGTCCGCTTACCAAAGATAATAAAAATTAAAAATGGTAAAAACAAGTTTCCGCGGCCGGTCTTTGTTCTAATTTGTTCTGAAAACCCAATTTAAAACGCTCAACACATAGATGATGATGACAAACGAAAGGCAGCATCTGCCAAATATTAAAATGCACACGTTTTTATGGGCACAGTTTTTTAGACAACCGCATGACTTCACGGCCGCAAGCTTGCAGTTGTCGCTGTCGCTAAATTAAAACCATTTCTTATTTTACCGACAACACTGCTGTCAATCGTGCTGCCACTAATATGTGAAATATACAATTATTCAACTCTCTAACAAATCTAATGTTGTTTTAATAACATAAGCATAAAATAGCACTAATATATCATTTGTAGCATCAATTGATAATTTAAAACCAATTAATAGACCTATTTACTTATTTTTTGCACCAAAAATTTCGTTTTGAACAAAATATTTAAATATCATTGAGGTAAAATAGGGTTTTTAGTACGGCAACAACGAAATTGCGTTTATTAGATGTTAGATATGTCTTCAAAATGTTCAAGAAGCTGGCTTCAAGTCGACATTTGCAGACAAGAAAATTTCGTTGCCATGTACTCGTCTTTGTATTCAAATCATAATGTTCAAACCGATGCAAAACCGTGGACCGAATCAGCTGATACGACCTATCTTATGAGAGCGCAATTTAAATGAACTCTCAGAACCGCTATCCATCCATCTAGCGTCCGTTTCTACAGAAGGTAGGATATCCGCGAAAATTTAATTTTTCCAGTAGAAACAACTGAGCTAAGAGTGAGAGAGAATTCTCTTGCAGCGCAGGGTGCCAACCTCTTAATTTTGTAGTAATTATAAAATAAACTAGAATATATTTTAAATATTCCTAAAATAACTCAAAATCACAGTCGATTATTTATAAATAGGTAAACTACTTTTAATAGTTGGATTTTAGTTTTGAGCTTTTACACTATGAAAAATTATAACTAAAAAACTAAATGTGTGAAAAATCGTGTATACAAATATAACAATGGCAACATTGGTGAAATGAAAACAAAAGAGAACAACTGATTTCTGCGTTGCAACAACGTTCATAACTTTTGACAAACTTGTTTTGATACGGGCGGTAAGTACGGAAGGGAGGCACTTCGGTGACTGTTTGCGGTATAAAACTTGGTTTCTGAATTTTTGTCCGTTTAAGAGAGAAACTCCGCTGATTGCGGATGTCCGCAACTATAGCTTTCGCTATACCTATAAATATATGTAAAAATTTGTAAAGTCAGGCACTTTTCTGTTGAAATTTACTTTGTGTACATGCTGTGAAAAATAAAAGTATGTGGGTATAGCGCCGCGTTTGAAGAGAATAAAATATTGAAAATGTCCTATACTTTTCTCTTAATAGATAAGTGTACATATCGGAATTGAAACGTTCGCAACGTTCCGATACAAATCTGATTCTCTCTTTTGAATATTCTTTATACAACGGGGTGCATCCAACTTTCTCAAAAATGCACTTGTGCGCACAGTAAATTCGACCGGAGCTAAAGCAGAGAACGTAAAAGAATTGTTATATATACATATGTTTTCTGGCTGTAGTAAATATCTTTACTTTTGTAGCTTAAACAAAATTATTATTTTCAATAGAAGTAAAGTTAAGTATATTTATAATGGAAGTAAATGAGCATCCAGTGAGCAAGAATATTTATATGAATATGAGGGTGTGAATGTAATTTATGAAGAAATTTGAGTAAATATATGATTGCAAAGTACATGAATGGCTGACAAAGCACACTACCACACCAGACCGCAAGTTGAACTCTGTGGGTGTCACTGTTTGTTGTAATATTGATGTTGCGGAGATGTGGCCGCCGAATGTGAAAGTGTAAATGTGATGCGGTGAAATTGTTGTCCAAAAGTGAGGAGTGAATTTAGTGCATCGACGACACGGTATTGGAACATTGAAGAGCAGCAGTAATATGATTGTGAACTGGCACAGAGGTGACCTAATACAGGTACCTCTCACTGCAAATTATTTAGTAACAAGTTACACATTGAGTGGTTAGTGCCGGAAACGGGTTCTCGGTTCTCGCGTTATTCGCTGCGGTTTTTTTGCGCGAGTTACTATCAAATAAGACAAGCTAAAACAAAAAAAAGGCTATCCCCAAAAAACAGAAACCTTATCAAACAATAATGCTTACGGCACTGTAAGAAATAAGAAATGTAAATGTCAAATAAATTTTCAGACTATAACATCTCTAAATCCGGTTACATAAATAGCGCTATTTAGCGGGTCAATGACTGCTAGAAATTGAAAATTAATTACGCTGAGTACAACGCTTAGCTACCGACGTCGTGGGCGGTATAAGGTTGCGTCGGCACCAATTCAAATGATTAAATGTTTGTATGTATACGTCGATTGTACATATATTTCGATATGTATGTTTATGTGTATGCTCCAGTGTTTGTATGAATATATGAAAATATTGATTGATGTGAACTAAAATTCACCAAAATAATTTTAGTTATGGGAGTTGCTTCTTCTATCTTATCACTTAACTAGTCAGTCACAAGTTAAAAGCTGCAAAAAGCTCTAATGTAAATATATATATATACACTTTTATGTTAATATATAAATATATCTTAACACAGTCAATAAAATTATGTGTACGTACGGCAAATTGATTTTAAACATTTAAAAATACAAGTAAAATACTCTGAAATATTTGCGTATCCACATATGTATGTATGCATATATTATATATTGTTATGAATTTGTGCGTTGAAAGGCACAATACATTATGTAAATTCCGTATAAAATAAGGAGAATGTGGTTTAATTCAAAAATTTCTATCTGTCTTAAGAAGATCATTTATATATACATACATATATGTATGTATGTATATAAATATACACATATAACCTCATGCTTTAAAAAGATTTCCAAAGCACTTTAACTGATTTAGATTTCAAAGCGTATAAATGCATGCATATTTTTTATCAGCGGCGGCAAGTTTTCGCGCCTAGTCATCCGTGCGCGTATAATTTTTTTATTGTGTGTTTCTAAGTTTTTTGTACATAAAAATATCATCCGTCACATGCACACGAATTGTATGAGTTTTATGTATCGTGTCATGTAGTGTCGTGATTTTAGGACATCTTACGGAATTGTGGTGCTCACTAGCTGTTTGGCCTAATGAAGATTACTATAAATACATTGATGTACGAAACATTACTCAGCGGTTGTTGAAGTACAATTAACTGTATTGCTAATTAACTGCGCTCCTTCCGTTCATCGTACAAGGAACACTGTTTGCGCTGTCAGTCGTTACCGAATGCAAACTATCCAACTAGAAGCGCTTTACATACATACATAAATACATATATACTCTTTCAAAGACGTCACTAACAAAAAAAATTAACTTTTCAGCTTTGCAAGGTAAGTATACAACCTCATTTGTTTACGACGGCCGCATAATACCTACCCTTGGCGCCAGCTATACACAAGTATACACACTTAAACTTATACAAACTTACACATGTATGTAAATCGTTTGTGCACACAGAATTGAATGCATCAAAAAACACACACAGAGAAAACATTTTTCCCTCTAGTAACTTGAACTACGGCCGATTTAATGTTTTCAATAATACATAAATATCGATTGAATACAATAGTTAATTATCCCTTCTTATGTATCTACGAGTATCAAACTAATTTTGCATTCGTATATCTAATAATTTCGGTTTATATTAAGAAAAAGCAAATACGCAAAAATTTGTATACCCTGAACAGAGTGTATTAAGTTTGTAACACCCAGTAGGTTACGTCTGATACCCTATAAAGTATATATTATACATATATAAATGATCAGCGTGACGAGCTGAGTTGATTTAGCTATGTCTGTCCGTCTGTCTATATAGGTACATATACTGTAAAACGAAATTTTTTAATCTTCATACATATTTATTTTGTCGCCTTCAAAATATGCTCCTTCTGAAGCGATACACATATGCCACCTTTTTTTCCAATCATCGATACATGCCTTGTCGCGAATTTTCTTTTACGCCCCAATTGAGTCGAAACGGCTTTCAAGGAATGATAAATTGAGTTTTGGAAACAAGAAAAGTTAAATGGGGTCAAATCCGGTGAATACGATGGTTGATCGATGGTATTGAACAATGCTGGTCTTAAAATAGTTCATTATACTTTGTAGTAAAATGTTGTACTATGTAACCAGAAAGTTTCTGGAAATTGCTTTTTTTTTATATTCGCGGTTTGGTTCATCATGAATTCATTCCAACGGGACAGAAGGTCAAAAAAGAGTATTATATAATATGAGCGTTTTGAGGCGTTTGCGTGAAAACATCTGTCGTAAACGGCCGGAATTGTGGGCCAATAATTTCCGGAAACTTTCTGGTCTTATTGTACGTAAATTAGTCCCTCAGTTTTTGAGACCATCCTTTCATCCTCAAGAAACTGCTCATTTGTCGGTACCGCAAATATCGGACGACTACAAAATATAACTGTCATACAAACTGAAGGACCAAAATGAAGACCTTGTATGGAAAACTTTTTTAATCTCTCTCTCACGAAATTTGGCATGGATTACTGTTCAAGACAATAACATTCTTATAAATTTTTCAGATTGGACCTCTATAGCATATACTCGTACTAGCTGTTATACAAGCTGACCGACCAAAATCAAGACAAACATATTTTTATAAGAGTATTTAAGAGTATTATAGCTTAGGTGCAGGCGACGTCACCTTTTTTATACTCTCGCAACCTGTTGCTACAGAGTATAATAGTTTTGTTCACCTAACGGTTGTTTGTATCACGTAAAACTAATCGAGTTAGATATAGGGTTATGCATATATAAATGATCAGGATGAAGAGACGAGTTGAAATCCGGGTGACTGTCTGTCCGTCTGTCCGTCCGTGCAAGCTGTAACTTGAGTAAAAATTGAGATATCTTTATGAAACTTGGTAGACATGTTTCTTGGTACCGTGAGACGGTTGGTATTGCAGATGGGCGTAATCGGACCACTACCACGCCCACAAAACGCCATTAATCAAAAACAAATAAATTGCCATAACTAAGCTCCGCAATAAGATACAAGACTGTTATTTGGTACACAGGATCACATTAGGGAGGGGCATTTGCAACTAAACATTTTTTTTAAGTGGGCGTGGTCCCGTCTCTAATAGGTTTAATGTGCATATCCCCTAAACCGCTAATGCTGTAATAACAAAATTCACTGGAAGCAAATGTTTTTAGAACCTCTACCTACAGTGTGAAAATAGTTGAAATCGGGTGGCAACTCCGCCCACTCCCCATATAACGGTACTGTTAAAAACTTCTAAAAGCGCGATAAATCAAGCACTAAACTCGCCAGAGACATTAAATTTAATCTCTAGGATGGTATGAGATGACTTTACAGGAACCGCGTTCAAAATTAGACAGTGGGCGTGGCACAGCCTACTTTTAGGTGAAAACCCATATCTTGGGATCTGTTTAACCGATTTCAACAAAATTCAGTGCATAACGTTCTTTTCATATTTCTATGTTATATTGCGAAATCGGACTACAACCACGTCTATTTCCCATATAACACCATTTTCAATTCTATCTGATTCTTTTACTTTCCACTATGCATATCAATCATCAAACTATGATTATATCGGGGTAAAACTTTGCGTGAATAATACGTTTAAAGTATGCCACCTTGTGACCAAAAATTGTCTAAATCGTAACAAAACTGTTCAAGCCCTTAAGTACTAAATATGTGGACCCCAGTGCCTATAGTTGACCTTCTACCGAAAGTATCAGCCAATCCACAAAGAAATCTCAAACGAGTATACCATTTGACTTTGCGAGAATATAAAATGTTTGGTTACATCCGAACTTAGCCCTTCCTTGCTTGTTTAGTTTTTGTTTTATTAAAAATTTACCTCCAACAAGCATTGCATATCTGAACAGCATTTTAATAACTATTAATATTAATATAACACAAAAATATTTCACTGCTTCTCCGAGAAGATTTCAATAGTTAATTATTTGCAATCGATAAATTTCCTACAGGAATTCTCTTTGGTGTAATAATTAACTTATGACTGCAGGCTTATATTTTGATTTTAACTCATGCACAACAATTGTAACCGAAAACAGCAGTACACATATGTATATATGTATGTATGTGAACCAATTAGTGCTCTTGGGGCGGAAAAATGTATGTTTGTATAACTAACACTTTCTCAATAAAAAGCAATCGAGACACCGTCAAGAAACCCTAGCGATTCTTTTCCTATACAAAGCCTCACATTCGTATAGAAGATGTTCTATAGTATCTTCTTCTTCTACTTTTCGGCAGCTTCTATAATGGTCGTTGTATGATATCCAGTGCCCTGTTAGAGTTGTTATGTCATTCATTTTGAATTTTAATAGTCGGCAGACATATATATATCTTCTTATTCCACTAAGAAATCAAAACATTTCATTATCTTCGATGAACCGTAAGAGACTTTAGTTATTTCACAGCCGCTGGGCTATCTGTGTATATATATATAGGATTACGAAAATTCGAGGTATTGGGTAGAAATGGAATGCCTCTTTTTTGTTAATATTAAAAAAAATTTGCTCTACTTGATATTTCGACAGTTTTACCGAACATTTTCTATACCAATTTTAATAAACATTACTTTTTCATATTTGAAAAATATATATACATATATGTATATTAATAGTTAGTTAATCCTTTTTAGGAGCGGAAACTGAACCTTTTGACAACATCGTAATGAATGGGTGAAGAAACAGTGTATTTATTTCATCGAACTAAGTCTTCCATCCATCGTGGTTCTTCGCGAATTATTTCGGATGTCGTTCAAACCAAATTTTCGAAGACTTTTATTTCTGTCCTCGAGAGCTTCTTCTGACATCATACCTCTCGAAAGGGCAACATGTCTTATAAATTCAAAACAAAGTTTTAAAATTTCATACACAGATGTAGGCATATAAAACCATGGGTGGTACTTCGCTTGTCGGATCTGTACAAACTTGTACTGCCCGCAAATACGAGTGCGTCGCATGGAATTTCTTTCACGATGTCCCAAACGTTTTTTTGTCATTTTCTCTGACAATCTGTGAAATTAAGTTTGGGTTGCACTTGATTCTAGATACACCAATATGAGCTCATCATTAGGATATTCCTTCTCGCTTGCTTCAAATTTATATATATATATATATCAATGATTTTCTCCTATTTCAACGCCACTGACTAATTCAAAAACATTGAACCGGTTTCAGTCGAACCTTAAAAGTTCAAATCTACGAAAGATTAGTTTATTAGTATAAATAACATCTCTATAAAGCACTATAACTAATACTGAAATTTGGAACAAAACACAATCCCAAATCACAATGTGCGAATATTTAGAGAATAATTACACGACAAGTGTGTTTGCCCTATGATATAACGTACCATATATACCTATATTATATTAATATCGGAGGACGAAACTGTAATGGCGCCTGGATTATTGTTTGAATTTGAACTGTTAAATCAGCGATTTGTGGCACTGGCAGTGGCGTGCCGTCTGTACTTGTCACACAGGTATGTTGAATTTATGCTCAACTCACATATATGAGCTACACACATGTGCGGTGTATGCAGTATTTTGTAAAAAAATTTACCTATTTTACATAGGATTAGTAAAAATGGGTTTGAGGGGAAGCAGCCATTTTTAATCAATCATCATCAATTTGAAATTTTTCACACGTTCTTTCCTTCGCAAGAAGCTGCTTATTTGACGGAACTGTCGTTATCGAGCCAATATTGCATATGGCTGCCATATGTTACAAACTGACCGCTCAAACTGAAGTCCTCGTCCGGAAAACCTTTTAATTTGGCGTAAATTATTGTCCAAAGCAGCGCTATAATATCTTAAGAAATTTTCAAATTGAATCACAATATCATATAGCTGCCATACAAGCTGAACAATCGAATTCTTGTTATTGTATGGAAAACTTTTTAATTTGGTGAAGTATCTTCATTCAATTTTGGCATCCATTATCGTTATAATCTCCTAACATTTTGTTCAGATCGGACCCATATAGAATATAGCGATTCATTCAATATATTCAATGACAGTAGACTAAATTTTTGGCAGTGTACTGTCTAGTACTATCTGTTATCCACAGACGGCATAATAGCAGCTAGTCTGGCATGTAAAGCATAATTCATTGTTATTTTAATACATAAACAGGTTCATTTATAGACAGATACCAAGAAATCCAACTTTCATATCTAAAAGCAATTTCAATTATTTGGATATTCTTTTGCAGAGAATTTTTATGAAATCAACTTTGTGCATGACGATAGCGTGATAAGTAGATGAGTGATGAAGGTTTGTTATATTAAGTTGTATTTGTAGTTCAT